CGCCATATTAGATCCGCCATTTTGCATTTTGTAAAACTGACCTTGGATTCGTAATCAGCGACCCCAAAAACCCCCGAGTAGAGAGTTTCAAGCAAATCCAAACGATTATTAAAAAAAAATTCCGCCATATTGTATCCGCCATTTTGAATTTTGTAAAACTGACCTTTAATTCGTAATCAGCGACCCCGAAAACCCCCCAGTAATAAATTTTGTATAAATCCATCCATTATTTTTAGTGTTAATGTGAATTTTCTGTACGCGATCTTAATTTCCTTGATAAATTGTTTATAAACAACCATAACTTTTGTAATTTTTAATATTTTGTTTGGCCACTTTTAAATATCTTATTTAGTGTCGTTAACTTGAAGTTAAAGTACTTTTCAGACCTTAAATGAGAAAAAAATGTTGTGTCCATATTTTCTTCATTTTAGTCCTTCGTTTGTAGAATCACCCACAAAAAGTGTTTTTTTCCTTCAATAGAGTCACGTAGATAGTTTTCAAGAATATGCAGTCGTAAAAATGCAAGGAGAGGATGATGGTTTCTGCTACTCAGAGGTACCTTCGAATTTGCCGCATAAGGTCAATGAAAAATACAAACAGTGCTGGTGGCCGAAAACAGGGGAAAATATTTCTCAACGAATCTTTAATAGAGAGAAGCCGAATGCAGAAACGTGGTATCTAGTTGATATTGAGTTGGATAAATTATGCTGTGAGTTTTATTTTTTGTTACTGACTTTCGTATCTACTGTGTTTAGTTTTGAAAATAAGAAGTTTTTTATAGTAGCTTTTATATCCAAATTTTAATTTTCATTTATATTTTTTAATTTTAGCACCCTACCGCAGCGCTAGAAAAAGGGCTGAAAGCGAAAATTATGTTACCACAGACGATAATGACCTCGGCAAAGGAAATCGCAAGAAAATTTCTACCAGAAGGAAATCGTCCGAGGAAAACGAGACGTCTGCTAAACGTAAGATTCATTTACAAAGTATTTAACCATTTCAATGTACGTATTGTTTTCTTGTAAAAAAGAAAACACAAAAACGAAAGAGACAGGCAACCGATTCTGAATCAGAATCAGAGACTACAACAGAAATGCCGGAGGTTCCTGAAAATTTGTTTGGCCGAAATGCTGATAACTTAAGCATGAACTCTCCAAACAATCTAAATCATTAAGGTATTATCAGTTATTCAAGCTACTACCACAGTTTATCTTTTATCGTGTTTAAAAAATTTTGAAACCTAAAGCTTAGCTTATAAAAATTTTAATCTGTTAAAAATTTAATTTTTCCAAACTTAAATCACAATTTTATTAAGTCAAATTTTCATATTATAATTTAATTTAAATGTAGTTCACCTAAATTTGGAATGATATAAATTTCTAATCATTCTAATCAGTTATGCGAAATTCATCTATTCAAATTTTGCTTAATCTAGCCTTAATTGGTACAAGTTTGTTTTTTATATACATACAATTATTTTATGCAACAATTTTTATCAGTTTCTGATCACCTTTTTTTGGAAAATTATTATCCTATTTTAAGGAACAAAGTATAATTGACATAATTTTATTATATTTTATTGCATTACAGTAAAAAAGGTTTATAATATATATCTGTATTGTTTATCATTTTAGAAACCAATCATTTGAATCAGGAAATTGTGGATCCGCGACTAACGAATAATAATGGTATGTGATAATACGTGTAATATTTATATTTCTCCACAAATTTGATTAAATTCATTTTTATTTTTTATTACTAATATCTGATTTATTTTGTTTTAGATGAAAGGAGAACAAATGAAAATGATAGGAAGACATCAAAACAATTGACAGATCTTAAATTTGAGGTGCGAAGTCTTGGAATAAGAATCTCAAATATCGAGAAAATCGTTCAGGCAAATAATAACATCACTAATGATGAAAGAGAGTGGTTAAACACACTTTTGCCCCTATCAAAGCCATCGAAAGTTTTAGAAATGAACGAGAAATTGAAGGATGAAAATCTGGCTCTTGCATTTGTGAGTATATGTCATTTTAAAGAGTAAAGAGATTATATAAGTTGACCTTCTGGCAATATTGATGAGAGAATAAAAAATAAACACTGTAATATGTAATTGAAATTTAGTTTGTACAACTATAAATGCTTATTATTTTGTGTGATACTTATATAGCGAAAACTCGTGTTAAGTATTGGAGGTCTAGCTGATAAAGACGCAGTCAACAATGCACTTGCAGCTAAAAATGAAAAACAAATGCGGAAAAAAATATACATGGAAAGGATACAAAGCGAAGCCAGCAGCAGAAAATTTACGTTTTATTTCATTGATCAGAGGTATGTTTTTACTATTCTGCATCAAATATGTATTATTATTATTATTATTTTTACATTTAATAAGTATAAAAAATTGCACTAGTAATTTCAACTGATCTGCACATCGTAATGAAGCAATTTTTCATTATAATGCATAAAAAAACAATAAATACATAAAAAGTCATGCAGGAGGATCGGTTACGATTTTGAATCTTTGAAATTTTGTTCATTTAGTGTCCAGAGATTCAAAATATATAAGAGTTTTTTTTCGGCATCGGGGACCAACTTTTTCATCATTTAAGACAGGTGTGTATACAAAATAAAGACATTTATATAATAGTAAGTAAATATTATTTTGTGAAGAATTAAATAATTTTCTTAGAAGTTTATCAATAAAATAATAATGTAAAATAATATAAATATATAATGAAATGATCAGAAAAATAATATGTTTAAATTACATAAAAGCATAAAGAGAAATTTTTTCAGATAATATAAGAAGATGATTAATTCTGAAAATAATTTAAACTTATTTAAATAGAAACTGCACTTCAGTTAGAAATTGTTTTCTTTTCAAAAATCCTAAAATTTTGTACGGAAAAAGAATATATTATAAAAATATTATTTGTATTAATGTAAAAGAATATGTTACTGATAGTAATATGATATTATATTGTAAAGTGAGTTTAGAAAGCAATGTAAATTAAAATTCAAAGTATTAATATTATTCAGAAGCACGTTACTTCATTACCTTTAATCACAAATATATCTGCGTAATGCACAAAATTATAAGTTGCGTAGGTCCGAGAATAATGTTCTAATCACGAAATACGAGAAGAATTGCACTTAATGACATATGTCATTGATCTTATGTCAAGATGCTATTGACAAATTTTCGGTTATTCCAACATTGCTCTGAAATAATTTTTTTTATTAGAGATGAATTTAAAAAATGGGTCTTGAGAAATATTGCAATCATACTTATGATGAAGTTAAATACAAAATTATAAGGAAGTGACTAATAATATTAATATTGATAATAATAATAATAATAATAATAATATTAAAGAAATGTTATTATTTACCTTAATTATCAAATATCTGCAGCAAAGAAGACTAAAAAAACTGCAAGTATTTATTGGAGCAATTTTTTTTTCAAAGCAAAAGAAATTATAGTTTTGTAAAACCTTATAAAGAAATATTAAAAGTAATGCATTTTCAAAATTTTATAATTAAATTTTATAATGTCAATAGGAAAGAAGTAAATGAATATTTTTCTACATTATATACATTTTATGTACTTTAATGTTATTGTAATTTAATTATATTACAAAAATTGTAATTCTAAATTGTATGAGAAATGAAATAAATAGTATTTAATGAAAATAATTAAGAAATAATATGTAGATAATTAATAATAAAATTAATTGTAAATGAATATTAGTCTTATATGAAATGGATGATTAAAAAAATATTTCTAAATATTAAATAAATTTATTAAAAATATAATTTAAATCAAGCATAAATGGAAATTCCTATGAAGCAAATAAATATGAAAGCCCAAACGCAATGGGGGTTGTGGTGAAATACGATCATATTTAAAAGATAATGAGTCTTTAGAGAAACAGTTTGAATAGGGAAAAAGGTTTTCTTGTACTCAACACTTGTCGATCGTAAAATTAATTTATATACAAGCAAATCAATTTTATGTTATGCTTATGGTTTTTTTGTTTTTATTTTAAAATTTTATTTCAAAAATACCTCTTCATAAATGATATTCAAAATGAAGGAAATGAATTGTAAAGATATTAAATAAATGTTTTTTTATTATTAATGTTGAAATTAAATTTAATTAAATTTTATGTTCATATGTAAATTTGATAATGACAAATGTTTATATAAATATAAATTAAATGTTTAAAATAATATGAAAGAATTCAAGCATATAAAAATATGCATTCAAAAGCACAAACGCAATGGGGGTTCTGTTATACTCTATCAAGTTTTAAGAAGTAATGCGTCGTAGAGAAGTAATGTGAAAAAGCAAAATGGTTTTATATTACTCAACACTTGATGATCGTAAAGCTAAATTATATATAAGCAAGTCGAGGGTGATTAAAAAATTCTTTTTACGAAAAAAGAAATAAAATATGAAAATAATTGAGATACTATAAGAACATAGGTTATTCCTAAGTAAATGTTTATAGAAATAATATGAAGAATTTTTAATATTAAGATAAAAATAATTAAAGAATTTCTTTATATACATAATTTTTAATATTATCTTTTCTTCACACTATTTTTAAATTTTCACACTATCAAATGAGCGAACTCTAAAAATGGCTACATATAATTGACCATGATTAAATAAGTCTTTCCTAAGATCAATTGCAATTTTATTAAATGTTTGTCCCTGCGCTTTGTTAATAGTCATCGCAAATGCCAATTTGATTGGAAATTGTCTTCTTTTAAACGAAAAAGGGTAAACATTTTCACAATGAAGTGTTATGCGATTTAAAAAAATAACATTACCCTATTTATCGACAGTTAAAATCTCACATTGAAGCAAATTGTTTAATAAACCCTTAATTAATAACCTTGTGCCATTACATAGGCCTTCATTAATACTTAAATTTCCTATGAGTATTACAACTGAATTAATTCGTAATCTCAATTCATAAGGTGGAATGGAAGGAGGTGATAGTGTAAGTGTTAAGCTATATGAATTTGAGTGATCAAATGATGTGTAATATGTACAAATTTCGCTATACATCCCCACCCTTATTGGTTGAAATTATAATCTAAGCTCAGTTGTGTCATAGCCACTGTTATGATACCATCGTCAACATTTCGACGAGAATTTCTTTCTCGAGTCCGTTTCAAACTTTATTATTATATACTATGTCAAAGAGAAGAGTTTACGCGAGTTTAATAGTTTGTATAGAGGTGAATTATGTTAAATAAAGAACAAGTTAAATAAATTAATTGTGAGTGACTGGAACTTATTTATTTATGTGTTAGTGAACGTTCTTCCTACGATTTACTCCCATAAAGAAACAATTGGCGATCCTGCCAGGATCGCCACCAAGCCTTCAACGAGCCTTGAATCTGAAAACTCGGAACCAATAGATAACAGTCTAGTAGCTTCTTCCCACCTTTCGAGTGGGTCACAATTGTCTCCTCGCATTCTTGCTACGGCTTGGGTGGTGGTTTCTTCCGCCTCTCAACGGGCTGTTACTGTTAGGGCACTTTTAGATCAAGGGTCAACCCACACGTTCGTTTCAAGGAAATTAGCAAACGCCTTGAACTCGAAAACGTTCCCGGTTTCAGCCGAAGTGAGTGTTCTTGGAAACCATACTTCTAAACGCATTAACAGTCTCATTCCAATTTCAGTAAAGGCAACGCGCGGTAATGAAACAGTTCTTTCAACTGAAGCTTTGATTTTAGATTCATTAACCTCTTATGTACCTAAAATCAATTATCCAATTTCCAACTGTGATCATCTTCATGGTCTTACTTTCGCTGATGAGCGATTGACGGATGACACTCCTATCCATGCGATTATCGGGGTTGATCTTTATCCTTACGCGCTTCTTGATGGGATTCGTAAGGGAAGGCCTGGGGAACCGGTGGCTCAAAATACAATATTTGGGTGGATACTTTCAGGTCAAACAAAACCTCTTTCTACTTCTGAGAGTATAGTTCAGGTTCATCATCTTCAGGTGAGTGATAACCTTGATACTGCTCTTCGAAAATTCTGGGAGGTGGAAGAAGGTCCGTCCTTTCAGCCTCCATCAGAGGAAGAAAATAAGTGTGAAATGCATTTTCGCGAAACACATTCCCGCAATTCTGAAGGAAAGTATATTGTCCGATATCCTTTCAAAACTCCACCCCCTCTTGACATTGGAGATACACGTATTCGATCACAAAAGGTATTTTTCTCAATTGAAAGGAGACTGGCTCAACGTCCTGATGAAAAGGAATCATATCACAATTTTCTTCGTGAATATGAATCTTTAGGACACATGAGACCGGTTGATCCTCCTTCTGATAAATCCGCTCAAATTGTTTATCTTCCGCATCATCCAGTAGTAAAGGCTACCAGTACCACCACAAAAACTAGAGTTGTTTTTAATGCTTCAAGCCCTTCGTCAAATCAGGTATCATTGAATGACCTTCAAATGATTGGTCCCAGACTTCAGGGAGATCTTCCTATGCTCTTAACACGTTGGCGTATTCATCCCTTTGTATATTGCGCTGACATTGAGAAAATGTTCAGGCAGATACTTATGGATGAACGAGACGTCAACTATCAGAGAATTTTCTGGCGAACAGACTCCTCAGAGATCATACAGGAATATCAGCTGTTGACCGTGACCTATGGAACAGCTTGTGCTCCGTTCCTGGCTATGAGGGTATTAAAACAACTTGCCTTGGATGAAGGTCACGATTTCCTTTTAGCTGTTCCGATCATTCAAGATCAGATATACGTAGATGACTGTCTCTTTGGTGGACCTAATGTCATGGAGGCAAAACAAAAGCGAGATCAATTGGTTGCTCTTCTCAAACGCGCTGGTCTTGATCTTAGGAAATGGGCAAGTAATTCTCCCGAGCTCTTAAATGATATTGATGAGAGCAACCATGGACTTGCCTGTGATAAGTCGTTACAACCTGATGAAAGTTTGAGAATCCTGGGTATTTCTTGGAACCCAGCATCAGATACTTACCGTTTTTCTGTGCACCAAGAAGAAACGAAGGTCATTACCAAAAGAGTAGTTCTTTCCATCATTTCTAAGGTATTTGATCCTCTTGGTTGGCTTCCACCTGTTGTTGTGCTGGCAAAGATTTTCATGCAGTTTTTATGGCGTCATCAACTTGATTGGGATACCCCCCCTCCCTGAAGACTTGTCCTCCTATTGGATAAAATTTTACAGCTCTTTGAATTCACTTGATAAATTGCAGATTCCTCGATGGATCGGAATTGGGGATGAAACTGTTGTTAATGAGCTACATGGGTTTTCAGACGCATCAACAGCAGCATATGCAGCTGTTGTATATCTCCGTGTGATATCAAGGTCAGGTGATGTTCAAATCTCATTACTGTCAAGCAAAACAAAGGTTGCCCCTGAGAAACAATTGAGTGTGCCTCGTCTTGAGCTCTGTGGTGCAGTTCTATTGGCACGATTGATGAAACAACTACTTGCCTTATCTGAATTCAATTCGTTTCAATCATATTGCTGGACTGATTCATCCATAGTCAGAGCATGGTTGAAATTACCCTCATCTCATTGGAAAACATTTGTTGCCAATAGAGTATCAGAGATTCATACACTCATTCCTGATATTACATGGCTCCATGTTCCTGGCTCTGAAAATCCCGCTGATTTGGCAACCCGAGGATTAAAACCCGAGGACATTCTCTCTAATCATCTGTGGTGGAGAGGTCCTCCGTGGCTCTCGCTTGATTTTAGTTCGTGGCCATCGGAGGAACCTTTAGTACCAAATGATGCTCCTTGGGAAGAAAAAACCCCTAAGGTATGTGTGGCAAATTTAGTTATCAAATCAGAAAATGAATTCGAAATTGCCCAACGGTTTTCCTCGTGGCCACGACTCTTGCGAGTGACTGCTCTCATTCTTCGATGGTTACCATCCAGAAGAGAAATCATGGATGGTGCAGTTTCATTGATTCCAGATCCTGAAGAGATTAAATTCGCATCTATTCGGTGGATTTCTCTTATACAATCTCGTTATTTTCCGGACGAGATCAAGACTCTTTGCAAAAATGAACCTGATTCTGATGGCTTCAAATCTCTTAAGGTAGATCAAACGTTCAAATGTGATAGCCCACTTCGTCGACTCAATCCCATCCTTGATCCTGATGGACTTTTACGCGTAGGTGGGAGACTGTCCTTGAGTAGTTTAGATCCTGCGGCAAAATTCCCCTATATTTTGAAGGCTGATTCAATTTCACGCCTTATTATTTTGGATGCCCACCAACGTTGTTTACATGGTGGAATCACTGTTACATTGAGTACTCTCCGAAATAATTATTGGATTTTACAAGCTCGTAAGGTGATAAAATCTATTATTTTTCACTGAGTGACCTGTTCCCGAATAAAGGCCGAGATACCGGTCCAACTCATAAGTCCACTGCCTTCAGCTAGGGTTGAGAATCCGGGCTTTCCATTTACGAATTGTGGGGTTGATTACGCCGGACCTATTAGTGTTCGCATGGGGGGCGGTCCTGGTATTCGCTCACGACCAGCATGGATAGCGGTGTTTATTTGTCTCGCAACTAAGGCAGTGCATTTAGAGGTGGTTTCCGAATATTCGACGGCTGCATTCTTCTTGGCAGCGCCACATTTCGGTGGTTTGTGGGAGGCAGGTGTCAAGAGTATGAAACATCATCTTATTCGAATACTTGGTGCTCATACGCCCACCTTTGAAGAGCTTTCAACATTAGTATGCCGCATTGAAGCTTAAGTATTGAAGCATTGAAGTTTAACGCGTGTAGTTTCAGTCAAAACGGCGACGTCGAAATATACTCGCCCTATCTCGAAATTAGCTCTTCTTCCAATAAATATCGATGAATAGTTACCGTCAGATTTCTGTTTGAAGGCCTGTCTTTAAACCTTTACGGGTGACCAAAAAAAAATTATTTTTGTATGCCTATTTGATTTGGTTTATATTACGCTGTATACATCGCAAGGCGGGCGGTATGTTAAGCTATATGAATTTGAGTTATCAAATGATGTGTAATATGTACAAATTTCGCTATACATCCCCACCCTTTTTGGTTGAAATTATAATCTAAGCTCAGTTGTGTCATAGCCACTGTTATGATACCATCGTCAACATTTCGACGAGAATTTCTTTCTCGAGTCCGTTTCAAACTTTATTATTATATACTATGTCAAAGAGAAGAGTTTACGCGAGTTTAATAGTTTGTATAGAGGTGAATTATGTTAAATAAAGAACAAGTTAAATAAATTAATTGTGAGTGACTGGAACTTATTTATTTATGTGTTAGTGAACGTTCTTCCTACGATTTACTCCCATAAAGAAACAGTAAGCAAATATTCAGGTAGAATAACATCATTAATATTGTCATTATTGCAATTGTCAGTACTATCTACCCCTGTATATACTTTCTCTCCATCTTTGTCTAACAAATTAACAACCATTTTATTTATATCATCTACATCTTTATTTCTCGCGGACAATACTGCACAATTTGAAAGCTCATTGAAGCATTTATTTCGAATAATATCGGCATATGTGTAATTAACAATGTCTGGATTACTATGGAATAACATCATTATAATCATTTATATCACCGTTTCCTATATTTAATAAAAATTTAGTAAATTCAATTTCTAGAGGTAATGCTCTCATATTTTCTGTTAAAGAGAAAATTGAAAAACATTTCCATAGTTTACTGCATTTGATTGATAAGTTAATTATTTCTGACCTAATACCCCGTTCCTTAATTGGCAGAATTTGTCTAAAGTCAGCACCTAAAATTACAATTTTACCACCAAATGGAATATTAGATTTCATAATATCTCTAAGAGTCCTGTCCATTATTTCTAAAGCATATTTAGGTGACATAAGAGCTTCATCCCAAATAAAAACGTCAACATTTTTTAAAAATTGTCCTTCTTTAGAATTTACTTAAATACTTGAGGAGAAAAAAGAGGTACAGGCAAACCAAAAACTTTGTGGACAGTTTTACCATTTGGAAGTAAAGTAGCAGCTATTCCTGTAAAAGCCATATTGCAAACTCGACCACCTTTGCTTCTTATCAAATACCAAAGTGTTTGATACAAAAAAGTTTTACCGCAACCACCAGGTCCATCGATATACAAACATTTACTCTGCATTTCAGTTGAACTTTGAAAAATATTTAAAACATAATCGACAATTTCCTTCTGCTTATTATTTAATTGTTCATATTTTTCATTTCCCTGAAGATTATCATTATCACAATTGATATTGTTACCTTGTAATTGAATTTGCATATAATCTTTTTGAAGTTCATAAAAACGTGCAAAATTTTCTAAACTATGACCTTCTTCAATTAATAAAGACTTGATATTAAAATAAGCTCTACTGTGACTTTCAAAAATATCATGAATTCTCCTGTAATCCTCAGAAAATTTGTCTTTAAATTCATTCCACAAATCTTGAGGATTAATTGGTTGACAATGAATTAGAATTCTGACAAATAAACTTGGAATACTTTGAGGCATTTTCCACAAAACACCATCATTTAATGCCCTTCTCCATTCATAATCATCCTCAATGAGCCCTAATGCTAAGCAAGCTGAACTGAAATTATCATACGTTACTTCGTCTACTGTACACAAATCTTCAAATGATTTTTTTCCTTTAACTGAAAGTAACAATGATCGTAAATGAAATAATTTAACTTGACAGGGACTAACAAAATACATTCTCCCAATGTTGTTATCATATCCTTTTCTTTTTACCCATTCACAATTTTTTTTCCTTCCAAGTAAAATGTTCTGGAATTTCGTTGTAATAAAAATTTCTGGCATCAGGATCTTTTTCATTTAAAGTAAAGTAGGCTAATAACTTACTTTTTTATCAACATTAAATGAAATATTTCTTTCATTATTTCTTTCGGAAATAATTATATTTTGTTCATTAGGTAAATGTATAGGCAAACGAGTTATACTGTGGCTTTTTTAAATAAACTTTTGCATGCCAATACGCCAAAATGCTTCCACGTGACCTACATATCTATTCTCTTCTTATTGCTTAATGTCATCATAACCAATAGAAGTATGATCACTACGGTCAGTAATTAATATTGCAGCTGCATCATTACCCTTATATATGTATATATATATATATATATATATATATATATATATATATATTTGTACAAATACTTGACAGATTGAATGCCTATAACTACCTCAACATTTATATGACAATCAAAGGGTAAGGTAAGAGAAGGACAGAAAGACGTATCTATTGTCAACTACATAGCCATTAGGTCTTGTATACTTTTTTTGTGTGTTTCTTCTACGCTAATTTACAAAACCATTCTCAGTGAATGTAGTTTCTTCATTAAACTCTTTAGGAAAATGTTTTGAACACTTATTATCAACAATGCACCAATCCCCGCAAGGCCCGTGAATATTATGTTTCATTACAAGTGCATGCAATATGGGATTTAAATTTTCGTCAGGAATTTTAGCAGATATAATTATAGCGATCAACACTAACTGCTGTTAATAATTTAGAATTTTGTTTCAATATAACTAATAAATGAACATGTGGCAGGTCTTTCTTTTGGAACTCTATAACAGACACATATGATAATACTTCACCAAACAATTTCTTTTTAACAATAACGTCTAATAAACTATCAACTTTTAAAGCAAAAACTCTTCCAACAATATCTGGCCTATCAGAAACTGTTTGATTTGGTAAAAGATTTTCAACAATTTCTCTCCATTATGGATTACATGTCATAATGATAAACAAGTCTGGTTTTCCATGTTTAGCAACAATTGCCATGGAATCTTGATATAACTGTGTCATATTTCTCGGTGAGCCAATAAATGTTGATGGAAGAACAATTAATTTTCCAACATGAGCATCAGTTTCGTCTGCTCTGTGTTGCAAATAATCAACTAACCCTTTATAAGATTCTGCTCTAATTCTTAATTGGTTGTTGCGAAAATAGTGCAACCTATCTTTTTCAACTTTAACATAATTATCTACTAACCATTGTTGAAATAACCTTCCCCCGAATAAAAACGGATTAAATTCATCTCTAATAGCTATACGAAACTTCAAGTAGTCTGCCTTACTAATTTTATGTTTTTTTAATCTTTTATCCTTGTCCGTTCTAACCATATTTATATTGTATCCAAAAGAACCTGTTGGATAAAATATAGGATATGTCCAAGGTTCAACATTTGGATCAAGGCTATTTACTAATTGCAATGATGATTTGACCTTGAATTTTGTAACAATAAGGACCTGCTCTTTTTCCATTAACAACATTAGCATTTAAAGAAGCAAATGGAAAATTATTATCTAAAACTCTTATATCTTGATTAAAAATTTTTTATTTAATATGTGATCCATCTAATAAAGATTTTAATTCATAAGGAAAATTTGATATAGTGTCAAGGGATACACCACCATGACCACAGCAATCATTAAATGAATTCATTCCCTTATAAACTCCTTTCTCTCCTGCAAAATGTTTGGCATTACAATGAATACATAACTCATTCATATCACCTAAATAATTTTTTTTTATTTCTTTTTCTAAATTTTGGTATAAATTGTTTTGAAGATTTTCAGTTGTATTTTCAGAATGCTCCTTCTGTTCATTATTATTATTATTTACGTTAACAATGCGTACTATTTGAAAAGAGTTAAAATTTTCACCAGCTATTTGCACTAATTTAGAATTTTCCGAAGAATTTCTTAAAATCTCATCCTTTTTTGCTTTAACATTTAAACGATAACGGCGTTGTCTTTCAGCATTTTTTTTTTTTTACTTAATTGAAATTGTTCTTCTTCCTCTTTTAAACGTAGAACTTTACGTGGCATAATGGGAGCTATAAATTTTTTTTAATAACGTATAAATTTCAAGATATTTTGTTGAACATAATTATCATTCTCATAAAAATTCATAAATTATCAAAAATTTCATAAAATATATTTATATTGATCTCATAGAAACATAAACTCATAGATAGCTCATAAGAAATACAAATATTTTAATATATTCATAAACTCATACAAAATTAATTCGCATATCACAAACTTAAAAAATAATTATAAATTTTATAATATATAAGACATTCCTGAATGAAGAAAATCCTTTTCTATACTTATGTAAATAAAATGAAATATATCAAATGTGGAAGCACTTCATCACACTAACATATTATTATTTGCACTTTATAAAAAGAAAATCACTTTATCACTGACTACCATATCACTTAACAAATTCGTATTAAAAAACTTATTTGATAATTTAATATTATTAAAATAACTTTTATTAAAAAAAGAAATTTAAAAAACTAATGTCAATTTACGTTATTTCTCAATCAAACCTTAAAGAAATACTGTCCATTTTTAACTCTTACGTGGTAACTTTTGGGGCTCCAAACTAGCTAAAAAAAATTCTTTTTTTACCCTAAACAACCACCATGTATTCATACACTTCGGACCCACCCCCAAAAGCCACCCCCACTTGGTGAAAAATCGAAAAAGTCCATTTTCGACTCTTACGTGGTAACTTTTGGGGCTCCAAACTAGCTTAATTTTTTTGTTTTTTTATCTTAAACAACCACCATGTATTCGTACCCTTCGGGCCCTCCCCTAAAAGCCACCCCCATCTTGGTGAAAAATCGAAAAAGTCCATTTTTGACTCTTACGTGGTAACTTTTGGGGCTCTAAACTAGCTAAAAATTTTTCTTTTTTTGCCCTAAACAACCACCATGTATTCATACCCTTTGGACCCATCCTTAAAAGCCACCCCCCTCTTGGTGAAAAATCGAAAAAGTCCATTTTCGACTCTTACGTGGTAACTTTTGGGGTTCAAAAGTATATAAAAAATTTTGTTTTTTATTCTTTAGAAAAGTGGACCAATAAACTGGAATTAATTCAACAGGACTCGGTTACTAGGACTTTTAGGTGTGTTAAGCTGGCACCACAAGTTTGATATTTTTAAATATTTCATATGCTAGTATAAATTTAAATATTGGAAATCTTAGTCAGAATACATTTTTCTATTTAGGTTATATTATTTGAATTTGCTTACCATCTAATTCATTTTTCGTGAATATATTTTAGGTCTTATAAATGATTTGAGATTTTTTAAAAATTTAATATAATACAAAATTAGTAGAGCAGTCGAATTTCGTGGTCAGAAATAAATTTTGATTAGTAATTTTATATCAGGTATTTTGACGTATGTCTTTCGTCTGTTATTTAAGATTAGATTTATTGTTTAATATGTCGTTTTTACTAACGAATTATATTATTGTGATTCTGAGGAAGACAAGTTATAAGTTTTTGACAATCCTGATAGAATATGGTAAAGTTTAGTTTCTTTTTTAAATATTTTGAGAATCTAATTGTGGGATTTGATTTCGGCAAAATTCTGTGTCTTCAGATTTTGTTTATCCTTTTATCTACAGTGGGTGTCCTGCTACCTTGATATCAGTTAGCAGTGCACCATGTTTAAAAAAAATTAAATACGGCAAAATTGAAAACTTCAGGAATAATTAACGGCAAATTAGAGGCAAATTCTCCAATACTGTATTTTTGATTTTAGGAAAGTTGTTTGTCTATCTTGTTACACGTCCAGCTTAGAGTTAAGGTAGCACCAATACCTTAAAAAAAATATGAAGTTTTTTTTGTGATTTGGAAATTTTTTTGAAATTTCGTCCATTTGAATGCCCTAAATAAGCCCTAAATGGTGGCAGGGTTGATTTTTAAATATCTTTTTTTATTGTATCTATTCATTGAAAATTAGTTGAAATAAAAATTTTGTTTATTAAAGTAACGCTGAATAAGAATTAAGGTAAATGAAAATACAAGAAAATAAAAATTAACTATAATAAAAAAAAAATCTTTGTATTCATTCCTTTATTCATTCACATTTTCTTAGTACTTGAATTTTCTCATTATTATTAGATTACACAGACACACAAAAAAAAAGTACCCGGGCCGGGGAATGAGACCACCATTTTTTGATGTATTTTGATGCGCTGAACACGAATCTGAAGTCTGTTTAGCTCCATCACGTCAGGATTTTGACATAACCTCAAAAAACATAGCTGATTTTAAATGACAGGAGAAATTTTTTAAATAATGGCAGATTTGCTTGAATCTTGTTACTCGGGGGTTTTTGGGGTCGCTGATTACGAATTTAACGTCAGATTTATAAAATTCAAAATGGCGGATCCAATATGGCGGACAAATTTTTAAAAAGTAGTTGGATTTTTACAAAAATTGGTATCATAGGGGTTTTTTGGAGTCGCTGATTACGAATTTAACGTCAGATTATTCAAATGTAAAATGGCAGATATAGTACGGTGGTCAAATATCTTTATGTTTCTACATGTGTCTACATCGAGGGCACCTCCACGTGGTGACGGTGGGCAACGGAGTTTGTCCGCTATCCGGCTAAGTCCCTGGATAATGGCATTGATGCTGTCATGGCAGACACACGTAGGAAACGTATTACGATGCAGGGACCGGAACCCCAGTATCGGCGGTTAAGCAGGCTCTCAGGCGTCGTCATCCAGCAACTGCAGCTCTTCATTGGTGGGAAACTTGGCTAATGTAGAGTATAATACGACAACAAAACAACCTGATATAGACTTAAACTCTCATATTTGTAGCAAAAATCGAGACCTTTTTTGTTATATTTGCAGTAAATTCGAGGTAAAGTCTTTGCGGAACAGGATTGACGAAGAAGTACGTAAACT